TCACCCTGTACCCACACGATTTCATTCAATCATTTCGTGTGGGTGGATGAACAGGGTTGAACAGGGTTGTCGGTAACTATTTTATTTACATCCAGATCGTTTCCCGCTCACGTGGACGCAGTTTCATCTTCAATTGGCAGCCACTTGTCGTCTTGTAATTTGTACCCTCGGACTATGATGTTTGTGTAACACATTAAGTTACTTCCATCAACCCATTTCCTTTCTTTCTTAGCAGTTGGCATCTCCTTCTTGATTCCATCCACAAAGGCTTTCTGGGATATTTGGATCGTGATATTCTCATCTGTTGCCCAGAGACCTGTGAAAAGGTTGAACAGTTTGGTTGTTGGTAGCGGGACTGCATTGGATTCTATGGTCAACTGTATTCGGGCAAACTTCTTCAAGGGGTTGTTTAAATCTTCGTAGGATGAACTCATCTCCTGCACACTCTTCGGGACTTTCAGTCTCAGAACATTTCCGTCAAAGTATTTCCTGTAGATGGAGATAAGTTCTAACATGAATTGCGGGCCTAAGTCTTTCAAGATAGTCTTTAGACTGCGATCAATCTGTTTCTCAAAGTCATGTTTGGGATGATCAACAAATTTGATGCGGAACAGTAAGAGAACAATTCTATCCCAGACAGCATCTGTGTTGGGTGCATCCATCAGCGGCAAGTCATTGCAAAGTAGTATAAATGTGGCGATCGGTTCTAAGGTTTGTTGCATCCCGTACATCTGACGCACGCGGGTTCTGTCATTGCCGGTCAAGAAACGCAGGGTTGCTGTTTTGATGGTTTGACCGTTCTCAGGTTCTGAAACAAATACCAAACGAGCACCAACAAGATCCATTAAGTCAGGACTCGGTGCACTGGATGATCCTCGTTTCTCCGTCAGAAGGGTAGCCATAGGCGTCGTACAATAGTCGCCAAAAGCAGCAACACATAGGTCCTTTTCAATACCTTTTCCATTTCTGCCAGACCCAGACCATGTGAAGAATTTCTCATGCGTGTTTCTACCTTCTAATCCGCTTGCCATCTCAAGTAAAGCAAATTCTCGTTCTTCTGCATTTGGGTGAATGGATTCTATGATGGCTTTAACCTTCCGCGATTTCTCTTCATTATGTACGGGGAACTTGTACTTGGTGGTTTTCAAAACATAATCGGTTGGCAGAGTTTTCCTCATTTCTCCTGTACGTAAATCATATACACCATCCTTGAACGCTAGTAAATACCAGCGGTCAGTAGCATCAAATTGTACATCTCGGGAGCCTCTTTCAGTCGCTCGACTACATCTTTGAAGATTGACTCTCGGAAACGAGGTGTTTTCACATTTCCAACAATGTAACCATGATCCTTAACATTCTGTGCTATATCCTCTTCCTTGTTCTTCATCTCTTTTTTTACCTCTTCCTTTTCGGCTTCCGTGCTTGCTTTTGCGAACTGTTCCTGGAGATCTTTCAATTCGCTTTTCAACATCTTGTCGATGTTTCGGAATTCCGATTGCATATAGTCTAACAGGATCTTTACAAACTCTTCTGAAGGTGCACCAGCCAAAGGAAGCCATTGATTACCTCTGAATTTGAACCAATGCTTCCTTTCAAAGCACAAGTATCTGTCGCCCATGAGATGTAGAATTAATCTTGCAAAGTCATAAGGGCTACACGCTTTGTATGCATTGCGACGAAGAACATCTATCTCCATCAAATCGTTTGCCTCTAAGAATTCCTTGCTGACGGTGATCGGCTTCTCAGCAAGATGTACAACAAGGCCGAGGTCATCTTCAATGAACTCTTCGCATTCTCTTAATAGGTGTTCATCGATTTCACCATGCGCCCATTGGCCATCGTGTAAAAGAACATCCGAATCGATGCGGTGAGTTTGGAAAAACTTTCGCTTACTCTGCAAGATTGCCAACTCCACCTGCTGATAACATCTGGAAAGGAAAGAACCGTTGGGATTCCGGATAACGTTCTCCTCCTTTGATTCCTCAACATAATTCTAGATGTGAATCCATTCTGGTTGCTTCTTCAATGTGGGAGCGAGCGTTTTGTAAAGCCAAGTATGGATCTCTTTGAAGAATTCAATCTCAACCTTGCGATTCTCATATAACATCATCTTGATGACCTGCGGCTTGGTAAGGTTGTACTTTTCCAGAATGGCTTTCCTATTGCGATTGTATTCGAGGATATTAGGACACGGGTTGTCTATAGCCTCTGCCATGTTTTCGAAGACTGTGAAGATGGCATTGACCACATCAATATCTTTGTAGTATCCTGGAGGAACTATGTACGCGCGCACCTGGGATGGACAGTTCTGCAAGCCAATACCATCTTGATACACCCTACCAAAGTTTGCCTTCCGATGAGAATAAGTAGTTGTCCTTACACCATCTATGGGGGTGTTGTTGTATAGCGACCAAAGTTTGGCCTTCAACGGAACTTTCTCATCATCATCGTGGCAGTCATCTTCATCCTCGTCTTTTGGAATCACTACATTCTTCAAGTCGCACAATCGACGCAACGCTTCACGATCGATGACTTCTTGAGATGTAATGATCACTTCAGACATGATTTAATCTTAAATCGCAAAAACAATTTAAGACTAAACGCACTAAAAATATGATAAAGGTAGTCTACGTATGAACACAAACGTTGAACAGACAATAACATCATGATCAAGTATATCGCTGAATGTGAAAATCCGCCATACTCAATTGGTGCGTCTTCAATCAGAGAACTGTGTCAAAAATTAAACATCTCAAACGCAACTATAGTGAAGATATTACATAACAAGGGCAAGTCAAACTACAAAGTGAAAATCACTAAGTGCGTTAGTGCGTCTGGTGAAAATACTCCATCTTCTAGTAATTAAAGACAATTCAAAGTTAAACTACAGGATGTCTTGTATCATTTGTGACGAAATCTGCGAAGGTGTCATCTGCGACCTTTGTTTCAAATTGAACATGAGGTGTATTGTTTGTCATGAACGGTTTGGATGTGACGATAGAAGGGAAAGGCACTGGAGGTTCACTTGTCCACCTTGCTATTACGGAAACGATCCGATCACAAGGGAAGTGTATTCTCACAAAGACAAACAATGCCGATCAGGGTCTTGCACCGAGACTTTGGATCGGAAAGGTCCTGACTATTGTCATGAATGTTACACAGAATGGCGCACCACAAATGTACCCAACATTCTTAACTATGATTCCGATTAATCCTTGACTTTTTTGTGGTTTAACTTTGTACTTACACCTAGAGTATCGTTCCCTTTATAAGGTCGCATGCGTGCACGTGTCACGTGACCTCCACATGCACGTGACGCGTGTCGAAAGTGAGCAATCTGCGATCATTTAAAGGGTCAGATACTTATCAATATAAACCATCTTGTAAAAGTACGAGGTGTAAACTGAGTGTATTTAAAGATATCGCACACTATACTGTAAACACACAATCAACAATCAAAACAATGTCGCAACCTTTCATCGCATCCATCCGCGCTCGTCACCCCAAGGCTACAGGAGGCGCTAAGGAGTCCACCAGGGTTTCTGAGGAGAACACAGCCATCAAACTCCTGTTCCCCCACTCTTACGACATCCCGGCCTTGACGAATGCATTAGAGAATGCTTGCAAGCCCAACGGGCAAAAGTATGCCAAGGGTACTAAACACAATTGGGTGAAGGTCCTTTGCGTTTATGATCTCGCCACAGATGAAGAACTGTTAGAATTGTTCAGATGCTTCTACACTCCGGCTAGCGACCTCAAAAGCCAGATGCTCCACAATGCCATCCTCTTACATTTGCCAAAGGATATTGCGGCTTCTTACATCCGCCAGTTATTGCAGCCATTGAAAGAATGGCGCGATGCCTACTCTAAAAAGAAGGCCGAAGATGCAAAGAGTCCCGAGGCTAAAGATGAAACTGAGGCTGTTAGAAAGGAGGATTGGGTTCACTTTAGCACCATTGAGAAAAAATTCAATGAATGCAAAGAGAGTGGAAGTGCACTCTTCTGGGGTTTCATCCGTGCACAAATGTTCAGTGACAAGATGCTCCGAGCAGACTTGTGTACTGCCAGAATCGATGGTCAGGGCAATTGCATTTATCAGGATGGACAGTTCATTGTGAAGGTTACCAACAAAAATAGGAAAAAGAATGTTGTTGTGCCTGTCCGACCAGATGTACGAATCCTTTTGGACAAACTCGTTGAATTCTAAAAGTCCCAAAATTGCGAATACTTGTTTGGATACAAAGACAGCGATGAGATGCGAGAAAAACTCATCGTTCCCAATTTGCTGCATTATTTCGGCAAGAAGCCTACCGTTCACACTTTGAGAAGTATTAAGAACACCTATATGGCCCAACTCTGGGAACTAGATGGTTCTAAAGGCAGCACAAGGGACGATTATATTGCAAAGCCATTTGACCATTCGGCTGAGATTGCCTATCAGACTTACATCTTTGAAGACCTCTTCGACGCCACACTGTTGCGTCAATAGATGCGGTGGCTTTGAATGCAGAATGATCCACCATTGGAAGATGCAATTTAGAAACTTCTAAATGCCAAAAGCGTGTACCTTGTAACAAATATTGAAGTATAATAAAATTCGTTCCAATAAATGTTTTGTTATGACATCTACTAAAATGAAGTGTGTCGGCTGTGGTGGTTTAACAAAAGGTTCTCGCATCCGTTGCAGTATCTGCTTCAGGAAGAAAAAGGAAGTCAAAAGAGAACGCAATAGGATTGCAAACATTGCATCCAGATGCAACTGTAATGACACAAGTTTGAGAAGTATCAAGTGCCCTTGTGCAGTTCACACTGAAACTACTATAACTGGTAAATGGTTGCAATAGGGAATCGAACCCATATGGCCTTCACGCTAAGTGAAGATCCTACCACTGGACGATACAACCTATCATGTGTTTAGAAAAACATTCTCAAAGTCGCGTATATTGCAAAATAATACCAAGACAGATGTAAAATGACTACTTTAGAAGATCGTGTCGCATTTCTTGAATCTCGTATCAACAACATGAGAACTTCTGATCAGTTGACACTCCGCATCTCGGCACTTGAACAGGAGAGTCATTCGCCTGATAGACAGACGATGAGCGACATCCTTGGACAAGTATCGGAATTGGAAACGGATGTAAGTAAAATCAAACACATGGCAATTGACTGCGAGACTCGACGATGTGAACTCGTAAGAAAATTCCAAGAACATTTCTCTCGCATCAATAATGAAAATTCCAAGAACATTTCTCTCGCATCACTATGTTACATTGCAGTTTGATGGATCACTGTTTGCCAGATTTGGGAAGTCTTCATATATGGAACAAGTCAGAGGCCGGAGAGAGCAATATAGAAACGGAACAAGATGACGAAGAGGAAACTAAAGAAGATACATTCAAGTCCCAATTGGCGGCATTGGAAAGTTTGGTCGAATCTATGAAGAAATCAGATAAGCCCGTTCTCTCGTTTATAGTCATTCAACATTCGTTGTGCTCCCGAAAAATCGCTTTCTGGAATATAATACAATTTTCGATAGCCGCTGTATTTGACCTTATACATGATTTGCTCAGGCTCTTTCCTGGTGGCTCTAACGACCTTGTGGCCGACAATCGAGTCTAACTCCCACTCCAGATGATCATCATCTGAAACATCGTCCTCATTGACTGCAGGCGGATTCCTCGGTGGAGCGGGTGAAAATTCGGTATCCTTTGGAATCTTTAACACTTGCCATAGTGACCATAAGCCTTTTTTGACTTCATCTGTGCCTTTGTTCTTCAACTTAAACGACTGACTGATGTTGGCGATCTTTCTCGGTTGGTATATGGATGTAACTATGAAAATCTCGTCGCTCCAATAACCCGTTCTGGTTTTGTGCACGATACCAGACTTATCAAAGAGGCGTAATCGAACCCAGTCACCAACTTCAATCTGGGATGTCTTCCCGCTCTTATCTTTGAAACTCTTAGATGCTCTATTGAGTACCCGCTCTGCAATCTCGGCATGAGTGGATTCATCCGCTTCTATTTCGGCTGCCGATTTCTTCGTGCTGTAAGTCATAGTCGAGTTTATATTGCGGATGAAAGTCGGGAGCATGTCCACCCAATTGGTTTCGCCAGAAGATCGCATCCACATGTTTATTGCTTTAGAGATGGCAGAATTTCCACTCTCGACGACCGAATTTGACCACGGGCTGTTAGGTTTGGAAAATTGATGCTTCATTCCTTTACTCTTGCAGTAATCGACGAACCCCGCTTGAAATTCTGGGCCGTTATCCGTTTGCAAAAATGAACATTTCATCCCTTGACTCAGGAAAGTATCGATCGCCCCCCTCATACTTTCCACATCCAGATTTTTCAGCGGCTTGGCGTAATCTTTCTTTGTGAAAGTGTCGACGGCGTGACAGATGTATTTGTATCCATTGAATGGATGTTGAACATACAAGTTATCCATCTGGATGTGGCCAGGTTTCTGAGATGTGACGGTCTGACCACTCCCCTCTTCATCTGTGGCCGTCTGTTCAATTGAAAGACCTCCTGTCGATCCATGAATGACCACAACATCCTGCGTGAAATTCCCATTTCCGGATGTTTTGTTTTGATTAGATAAAACAACTTGTCGCGGCCAAAGAAATTAGCCTTTTTGTAGATGAGGTCTCTTAGGAAATCCTCTTGTTCAAATGTTAATTTATATGGCATCACGTCTTTTCATCTATACTGATAAATGAAAAAACATCTAGTTGTCACCAAGACTGTGTGGCTGCGAAAAGCGTGTAAATCAATCAATACGACGTCCATATTTACATGCAATAGATGATAAATACATCTTGTCGCGTTTTTTTAAGTATATTATGGATGTAAAGTTGTGAACACAAAACATGGACGAAGAACTTCAAATCAGCGGCGAAATTGCGATTAAGGATGTACTAGGTGTTCAACAATCAATCACATCTGTTGTTCGCTTAAAGGAAAACAGCAAGTTGAAGATGGGCGATTATGTGCCGCTACTTGGAATCGTTGGGATGATATTTAACAAGGGCGATGAACTGATGGTCGATGGTGCATCCGAACCTGGATTTTATCAAGTGGAAAGTAAAGTTCTGACGGGGCATCAGGTTGCGCTGCTGGATGGAAGGATGAAAAAGAAGATTCTCAAACAAACAAAAGATCAATACAAGTCATATCTCGACTACGAACATTTGGATATTAGTAGTCTAGGACAACAGATTCTAGAAGAAAACTATAGGGAAGGTAAAATGCGAAGCGAGTCTCTGGATGAACAGTTGCAATCACATGAAATGATTACCGCTCAGTAGAAGTGGAATCATCTTGCTTCTTGGGTCTCGGCTTGCGAACCCTCTTCTTTTCCTGAGGGAACGCTTGCTTGAAAGCATCGTTTAGAGCCTTTTCACAGATGTTCAGTTGTACATCTCGAAGACACTCTTTCTTGACATCTTCCGGAAGACCATGATAAGGATGAGATGGCTCTTTACTGAGTTCGTTGAGCAACTTGTCAAGTTCATCTTGTTGGTCGATATGTCTGAAAGTTTTGACCATTTTTGAATGTTAGGTTCTTACATTAGATGTGTAATAACTTTTCAATGTTGCGTTCGCAAATAAACATGATTTCCTACAACTTTTAAACGTTTCAAAATGTCAGACTTAGGATTGATGATTGAAACCGCAGATGGCCTACAAGTCTATCCACACGAAGGGGTTGTGCGCAAGCAATACAAGCATCAATTGAAACGCATGGGATACAAGATGTCTAATAACAGACGCCTGCTGTGTATCAATCGAGAAGAGGTCTTAGAACATCGTTACATCTTCGAGACCTACCACAACATCAAACTGACTGAAGCGGATAAAATAAATCATATCTATTGGATTACAGATGACAATCGAATTGAAAACTTAGAAAAAGTGACTTGTCAACAAAACAACCAATGGCGGAACATCCAAAGCATTGGTAAATACAAAGGTGTTACACAGCACAAAGATAGTAGCAGATGGCGTGCCCAAATTACCTTTAACGACAAAACACAACATATCGGTACTTTTGACACCCAAGAAGAGGCTGCGAGGGCGTACAATACTCGTGCAATGTATTTAAACACTCATCACAACTGTATGTTCTCGTTGAATGAGTTGCCGCAATAAAATCTTATTATATGTTAACTATGTCGAAAAGAGAACATTTCACTGTGCAGGCTTTGCCTTGGAAGTCAAAAATGTGCCCTAAAGAATTACCCTACCCACTCCCTGAACCTGGAAATATATGTTGGACGATGCTTGGTCGTCGACAGAGTGGCAAAACACTGCATCTGATAAATCTCATAAAGGCTTACCGCAAACAAATGGAAACAATCATCATTCTATCTCCGACTCTCTTTCTAGATCCCAAATGGAAAGCCGTCATGCAGTACGACAATGTAGTAGGTTCCGAGAATGTTAACAATGAAGTTATTAGTCAAATCATTGAAACCCAGAAGATGCGATATGATCCAGCCCATCCAAAAGAGAATCAATGTTTGCTTATCTTGGATGACTCTGGAAACGATCTTCGCCGATCGAAATTGAGACATATGGCAAATGTTCTTTACACCACGTTCAGACACTACGCAGGCAATTTCATAGTCGCATGTCAAAGTTTGATGCATCTTGAAGGCGTTATGATTACAAACACAACACAGTTTACAATCTGGGATTGTAATCAGCGGCAACTGAGAAAACTTGCGACAGATCTTGCTACTGCCCGGATGAAAGAGAAAGACTTGGAGAAATTCATTGAAGAAAACACCAAAGAGCCGTTCAGTTTCGTGTGGATCGATTACACTAAACCATTTGATGAAACTTTTTGGATCGGTTACGACCATCCCTACAAACCGTGGGAATCATAGATGTTCTTTTTCCTTATACATAAGTAAAGAAAGGAAAAACAGTTTCCCGCATTAACAATGGTTTATCAGCAGATCGTATTTGATAATTCTACATCCGAGAACAGCCCTACTTTCATTGTGAACAACGCCCCATATTGTGCAAAGGCGAAACTCCTATCTGCCCACATACCTTTAAGTTTTGACACTACTGGCCCTCAAAATAATACAGTCGCCATCCGAGAGAATGGAACTGTACGACTCGTTACATTGAAATCAGGCAACTATACATCTGCAACATTCCCGGCAAGTCTCAAACAAGCATTAGGGGGAGCGTATGATGTGGTCTATGATGAACTCGCACGGAACTTGAAGATAACTAACCCGAATCTTCAATTCAGCATCCTCGGGCTTGCGGGCGGTACGACAGCCTATCAACAGTTGGGAAAGGGTCGCGAGAATGAATCCACTCCTGCAAACAGTTGGCAAGGTACTGCCTTTTCCAATTTTACGGGAACAAACAGTCTGCTTATAGTGTCATCTGATCTTGTCTCGCCATCCTTCCAAGTTGCTGGACAGAATGTATCGGCACTCGGATTGATTGAAGTTAACGGTCAACCCAATTCATACTTCAAATGGGAATCTCCAGGAGACTGGCTCTCTGTAGATGCATACCTATCTTACGTTCGTTTTCGCTTTTTGGACGCGAGAACTTTACATGAGGTGCATTTCCGCGGGGCTGCATGGAGTCTTCAAATGGCGCTGGTCACAGATTCGGATGATATCGCAACATACTAGATGCGGATGCAAATGTTCATTTTAGAATCGTTCTTGTAAATGCCATCTAGACCATCAAGGTGTAGAGACTGTCCGAATAAAACCCTTGACAGATGCCATGACTGCGACAAGAAACTGTGCGGCGATTGTAAGCCGATTGATCATAAGTGGAGGAGGTGCAAAAAATGCTTAGAACATCGCGATACGGCTTTTTCAGACTTCACTCAATTTGTCAAAGACGAATTTGCGGCA